GTGTTCTGGTTTGGATTGCACCGACATCTCTTTTCTAAGTTTGGCCATCTCTTTATCCTTGCAATTTAAGTTCTTAAAGTCATCAATCAATCCTTTCATTTATGTGATAGGCCTGCATTTAAAATGAACATTTACCATAAATTAAAGGTATCTTATATTATTAGATACGTTATTATAAAGCATGTTTTAGTTAAGGAATTATTGATACTTTGAGTGCAAAATGATGGTATAAAACCTTGATAAAAATGCACTTTTAAGTACTAATCAACAAACATGAGGGAAAAGAACATGATATGCAAAATTCGAGGGCTTGTTTATATAAACCTACTCCCGAAGGGTTCCATTTAGAAAAGCATTATGAACATTGATTTGATAAATCTGTCAACATTTAGAAACTATAATAATAAGCACTAACCAAATGGTGGTTGGTATAACCATGAGATTGAAAATTTTTGAGTAATTAATATCTTTTTTTTAGTAAATCCTCTATCAACTAAACAAGTTTTATATCATTCAACATCATCATTAACTCGACTTTTAATTTTATACACCAACCGGCTTACTAACCATATTTGTAAAAGGATGAAATGAAACTAGTGACCAACTATCATTACCATGTAAAACATTAATTTTAAATTATATAGAATGATGCCAGCACATAAATTGATTTTCTTTTTTTAAAGTAAGAGTTTCATGGTTAGGAGTGGAAATTACTTATATTTTAGATGATGTTGGTAAGGTTGAGATGAGGCCCAGATGTGTTGCTTTATTCTACCAAGGATGCAAAACCATATGGTACTTTCGAGGTGTTAGAATGACAAAAAAATAGAAGGGAAATCAAAAGTTATGAAAAAGAATAATTGAAGAGATCAATAACCAAATCCGAGCTAGGAGGTGAGATGGTCAGGGGCTAAAAAATGGTGTACCCGAAGCAAAAATTATATGTGTATCAACATCAAAAGAAGCAGACATTAGCAGTCTTAAAGGTAAAAAAGTTAAAGTTGGAAAATGATCACTATACAAAGATGCATGTAGTGATAGAGGAACACAGTTATAGGGAATGATAGAAAGATCATGAAAGATATGAGTCATGGAAAGTGGTGATAAAACAGATGCTAAGAAGTGAGTCAGAGATGGTAAAGATAGGAATATGGTGTGTTGTAGGCAAAGGCATAAGAGAGCTGGCTATATGTTTAGAGTCAATAAATGAAAATTAATGTTTATGAAATCGAACATGACGAGAAATGTAAATTAATTTAGATGACAAGTTAAAACAACGACCCTAAATGAGAAGAACTATAGTCTAGAAACACAAATGAGATTAAGCGGTAATTTAACTTGTGAGCATTGTATGAATGAAAAAAACAAAAATAAAAACACCTAAAAATACACAAAAAAGCTATAATATAGTGTATAACGGAACAAATATTCAAATGGTGACTTATTGTGCTAGATATAAGTAGGCATATGATTAATTAGATACATAAACATTTCATGTGCATAACTCTAAAATTTTAAGTGTTTTACATTGACCAAGAATAGTAAGACCAATTTCAATAATATGCTTATGTCAATGTTCATGAGTATGTGGATAAATTAAATGATGCTGACTACTAATGATTAAAAAAAATATATAATTTTTTATATTTATCACCCTAGTCTATTTGAACATATTTAATTTTGCTAAAGAATTACCTTTCAACTTAAGCTTGGAATGGGTGAAAAACATTTATAACATCAAATTTTACAACTAGAGGAAAAAACCACAGATATATAAAAGCATCCATAAAATAACAAAATAAAAAAAAATTATCAGAAGAAAACATAGGACCAAGTCCCCAAATATCATTAAAAATTAATTTTAAAAGAGTAT